GGGGGGGTGGTGGTATCCCCGTAGTCCCACTGCAAGGGTAAGTTGTTGTTTTTCCTGGAGTTTCTCTTTACAACTGTACTCTAGGCAGATATGAAATATATTTATTGCAATTCCATATTACAAGAGAGAATTACTACTAAGTAACTTACAGTTTGTATTAGGGGTGCACAGATACTTTTCGAGTACCAGTGCAGATACTTGGCTTTTTCATGAGAACTACCAGGGTTTCAGCGGTTGCAGCTGGGACCTGGCTGTAGCACTACCCCACTGTCCTCAAATCATTAGTCTGCATTGTTTTAGAAAAACTGTCACATGACAATAAACAAAAATGTATCAGTACTCGTACTTGTAAGTACTCGGCAAGTACCAGTACTCGTACTCGCAAACCTGGTATCTGTGCATCCCTTTATTTATATTTATAAAAACAAAATCGTACATTAAAACAGAGATGTACAAATCCCGGGAGCTCCGTGTGCTCCTTACAAATGACAGCGGCCTCCTAATTTTTGAATTTTTCTCTAGTCTAGTCTTGGAGCTCAAAATTATCGGTACTTGTACTGAGTACTGTACTTGGTATCTGTGCAACCCTAGTTTGTATACTGCTCTAGCTTATCTATCCAGTCACGGGTGCAGATACCTCCAGGATCTTTCAGCCCCCACTATACTCGCATAGCACATGCAATTCTGCATTCTCACTGATGCTGTGTGTGTGTGTGTGTGTTTGTGTGTGTTTGTGTGTGTTTGTGTGTGTGTGTTTGTGTGTGTTTTGTGTGTGTTTATGAAGTTTGCAAAATCCACAGTTTCTATGGAGTTTCACCTACATTTTTTAAATATAGTATAAGTATAGAAAGAGTATAGAAAGATGTAAAGTACTAGATATAAAATGTGGATTTCCTAAAACATTTGGAAGAGAATTGTTCAAACCTTATAAGGCTTATGACAACAGAAACAAGTACATGAATTATAAAATGGGCCACATGTTGCTGAATTCTTCTAAAGGTAACTCAGGGAGACGTCATAATCCAGGTGACAGGTCTTTTATTCTTGCATGTTTCTGGCAGGATAATCTGTCCCCAATTTCTGCACTCATTTGCTATGTTTCGGTGAAAGAGAAAAAATTAAATAAACCCATATGATCCTGTGAAGGATATTTTTATAATTCTATTAATGGTATGTTATGCATTGGGTATTTATTATGTCACTTTATTGAATATTCTTTCCTTACCTACAGGTAATTCTCCAGCTGACCCTGTGTTTGGGGAAAACATTCCAGTTGTGAAAAGCATCATGGCTGAGCCAGACTATATCGAATCCGATAGTGCAGATTTAATAAAACCCCACAAGCTGGTGAATCCAGTGAAGACTTCCAGAAACCATCAGGATCTTCATCGAGAATTATTAATGAACCAAAAAAGGTAAGATTGTGGTATATTTTTGAGCAATACTTTAGTTTCCTTCCAACAGGAAAAGGCCAAAGCAAGGAATACAATAGGCTTTTCATGATCTATGTTAACAAAGTTTGTGCAATTCATTCTGATTAGTCATTCTTTGGCTTCTGTGTTCACGGAGCTTATTTGCCAACCTCACCTTTATCTGACTCTACCTGTGCTTACCAGCTGTCACTTCTGAGGTGAATGCAGTGTCATGTACACATTGATATTTTGCTGACTGATGGATGATCTTTGCAGGAAAAAGTCAGTGAACACCGATTTGGATGTCATGAATTAAGTTTTATAACAGAGAAGCTGACAGCACACAATGGATGTTGTAAGACACCTTTTTTAATGGCAGTGCTTTTGCATTGCTACATTAAAAGGGCTCTGTCACTTAAGAATACTGAAAGCTTCTGACAGGTATGAAGTGAAGGAACCCAGAAGTGCCTACACGTACCTGCAGCAGCATTCAGCATCCCCTGCTTCCCTGAATTTTGGGCTGGTTTGATACAACAAAGTTTCAGCACTTCCTGATAGTACTAAAGCTTGCCTGCCCCCTTCTGCTTGCCTAGCATTACTATTGGCCAGTGTGTTGTCACTTTAGCGATGAGCTAGTATGAATGCATTTAAATGGGCTTTAGCAGCAGGTGTTGTCACTACCTGGAAGTTTCAGAGTTTTGCCTTGTCCAATGAGCCCAGCATACAGATAAAGCAGAGGATACTAAAAGGTGCCTCTGGGTGTGTCTGCCTTTCATACCTAGGAGTGCTTGGACGACTAGAACACTACTGTTTAGGGTAGAAACTGGCCAAAAACACATTGTAGGATGGATTAAGTAGTTAAAAATGTGTTACTTCAATTTACAGACCCTACACATGGTTAATTGTTTTAATCCGCCATTAGTAGAACTAGAAATGATCAACTTTGTCTGCGACGAATACAAGATTGTTTGCAGCTTGACATGTACACATATAGGTCAAAACATGAATTGATCAACTCTAGTTAATTTTGTTATTTATAGAGGCCTTTCACCCCAGAACAAGCCCGAATTACAAAAAGTGATGGAAAAGAGAAAACGGGATCAAGTTATCAAACAGCAAAAGGAAGAAGCTGAACAAAAAAAGACAGACTTTGAGATAGAGCTTGAGAAGAGACATCAAAGACTTGAGGAGGTGAGTGAATTATTATGTACTTAAAGAATGTCTAAACCCAAAAGCAAAATGTTAATGTGTAGCAGCTTACAAATCTATAAATGTGGTGGCCGCATTTATTTTCTTTTTTTTCCTTTTGGTCTATGACAGAAGCTGAAAAGTAACACACTTACTGGGCAGATCACCCGGTGAAAATAAAGAGAAAAAGCCTAAAAAAGAAAACAAATGTAGCCACCACATTTAAGAATTGGTGAGCTGCAATAAATTAGATTTTTGATTTTAGGGTTTGATATGCTTTAAAGCTGAACTCCAGATACATAGACTTTCATTTGAACATATTCCTTAATAACCATAGTTATTATTAGGGATGCACCGATACCGGTATTTTGGTACCGAGTACCGATAATTTTTTTTCGGTACTCGCCGATACCAATTACAGAGTAACGGAAGTCCCATTCAGGAAGCCAGGTGGCGTGTAATGACTCGCCACCCGGCTTCCCGATTAACAAGAAAGTCCCCTCTTACCTTATTATGTGCAGCCTGTCATCCCCGGGGCTTCTCCAGCGAGAACGCGGACTTCGTCCGGTACCCAGCCGGAGCCGTCTAGCCGGCCAATCAGGAAGCCGGGCGCCGTGTAATGACGCAACGCCCTGCTTTCTGATTGGCCGGGAGGCCGCCTCCATGCTCTCTTGTCATGAGATGACGAGGGAGCATGAAGCCAGCTTCCCGGCCAATCAGAAAGCAGGGCTTCCTGATTGGACGGCTCGGGCTGGGTACCGTACGAAGGCCGCATTCTCGCTGGAGAGGCCCCGGGGGATGACAGGCTGCACATACTAAGGTAAGGGAACCTTACCTCACGAGGCCAGCTTCCGGTCAATCGCGAAACCGGGCAGCGTGTAAGGACGCGCTGCCCGGCTTCCTGATACCGGAAGTACTCGTGCTAGGCATCGGAGATTTGGCCGAGTACGAGTTCTTGCCCAAATACTCGGAATCGGCACCAATATCGATACTAGTATCGGTATCGGTGCATCCCTAGTTATTATCTTGTAGAAGTAGTGACGTCATCACTGTGCTGTATGTATGTATATATGTGTGTGTGTGTATATATATATATATATTTATAGCCTGTGCAGTGGTATGGGAGGGAACCAACAGGTCCACCCACTGCATGCTGCCAGCAGCACAGACTGATCTTTAATACATAAAGCTCCTACACAATGTCAAAGTTTCATGCTTGTTCACTACACAGATCTGGAAGAAATATATAAAACACACTAAGCGTCAATTAAGAATATACATGCCTCTTGCATTTCGATAATATTTGCTAACGGGTAAAGAGAGATTGCATTGTGAAAAGACTGTAAGAGTTTTCTGGCCAGATTTTTTTTACCGGACTGCTAATAAATTTATGGTAATTGTACACTGCCTGTGGAGCATGCATAGTGCAGTGTTCAGTCCCAAATTATCGGTGGAATGGGGCCAGGTGCCGGAATAATGTAACTCCACTGTGTATGCTGGAGAAGGGAATACCTACAATGGCTTTCAAAAGTATTCTCGCCCCCTTTGCATTACCACCTGGAATTAAAATTGATTTTTATTTGGATTACATGTAATGGACATACACAAAATAGTCCAAAATGGTGAAGTGAAATCAAGGAAAAAGCTTGTTTTTAAAAAGGAAAAGTGGTGCGTATATTCACCCCCTTTGCTATGAAGCCCCTACATAATATCTGGTGCAACCAACTACCTTCAGAAGTCACATAATTGGGTAAATAAAGACCACCTGTGCGCAATCTAAGTGTCACATGATCTCAGTGTATATATACACCTGTTCGGAAAGGCCCCAGAGTCTGCAACACCACTGAACAAGAGGCACCACCAAGCAAGTGGCACCATGTAGACCAAGGAGCTCTCCAAACAGGTCAGGGACAAAGTTGTGAAGTACAGATCAATACAAACCCCCTAAAAATCCCTTTTAATTCCAGGTGGTAATGCAACAAAATTGTAGAAATGCCAAGGGGGTGAATACTTTTGAAAGCCACTGTATCTCCATTCAAGCTTCCTCCCCACTCCTTTCCAGTCTTTGGGAATAAGTTACCTGTTACTGGTTAGTTCCATCTGCCATCCCATTGCCCAATATAAAAGATCTTTGCCTTGACTTGAAATCCATCAGTAGCAAAGCATCAGGCACCATTAATTCTCTCTACTTTGCTTTACACTTAGGAAGTACATTTAGTGCTGCCATACAGTGCTTGCTTTCTCTAAACATAATGCTTTGTCATCTAAGTTCTCCTTTGCTAATCATTTTCCTTTGTCATGCAGATGGAAGAGGAAAAACATAAGAATGAGGAAGAACAGGAAAACAAGCCGGAGTTTCTCAAAGTCAAAGGCAACCTCAGGAGAATGAATCAGGAAATATCCAGTGCCAACAATTCATAGACACCAGCATGTCAAGGGCATTGTTATTTGCCGTAGAAAGATATTTTTACTGGGCTGGAGATGAACATTTTGTTGGAGATTTGCCTTAATGGACAATTCAGGTTGAATTTTCACCATCGATGCAATTAAGGCCTGATACAGCAGAGGCATCTTGCAAGAGCCAAGATAAGACTGTTAAATGACAGTATCTGGATTTAGCGCTGTATGCTGACAAAGTGGCCTTTCTGTTTTGTTTGTTTTGGGGGTTGACACATATGTTGGTTAGGTGCTGCATTGATGCCATGCAGGTCCTGTGCACCCCCTATTTGTTTTTAAGCTATTTTGCAGGGTAATATGATATTAGACTGAATTCAAATAGTTGCTATTTTATTTTATGTTCATTGGGAAGACGCAAGAGTTCTCTGGTCTCTTTTTTGCGCACCCTTCCCCGACTGAAGTGCTGGAATATGAAACTAGGATTTAGGTAGTTCTGCTACACTGGTTTTGTGCTGGAGGCGTATGCGTGATGGACTGATAATTTCATAGGACTAGTGATACAGTATGTCTGAACTGCAAATATAGCTGCCCAGCAAGGTTCCTCCTAATTAAAAGCCAGTGTATTATTATGTGGAGAAGATTACCTTAAGCAACTAAGGGGCATCTATGTATACATTTTAATAAAATTTCAGTTACGTTAGCTGTTTTAAGTCTTTGTTGGAGTCATCTTTTTTTTCTTCAGTAAAAATTGTGGAATAGTGAGACTGTATTGCTTCCCAAAAGGCTGAGCCAAACAACTTCAGTGGCAGCCAGAAAATGCAATCAGCTTTTGGTAAAGCCTTCAGTCCTCCAAGATTAGTTTTCAGAATGGCAGGTTTTTGAGCATTCTTGATACAGATTTCGATTTTGTTTTGGTTCTTTTGTATTAGGAATACACCTTTCTTCTATTAATTATAATCAAATTATTTATTCACCTAAAGCTGTGAATTGAACATCATTTAGTTTACTGGCAGGGGTGGTGAAATCAGTAAGTTGCCATTTTTGGTAATACTTTTCAGGTGTAAAGACACCCAGTAGTCAGATCAGACTTGTTTGAATGTAAGTCAAAATCCTACAGTCGTAATGCCAGATCAGTCAATTTCATATCTGTGGCAAACTTGGTGAAAAAAGTCTTATTATATTCTGTCACACACCAACCTGTGTCATTAGTTATCTGGTTTACCTTTCAGCTAACAAATGGTATTGGGTAGCATTGAGCAGTTTTCATAACATCTCTGCAGATCATTACAGTCCATAATGGGTGGTCCAGTGGTGCACCAAATCAATAACCCAAATAGATGCAAAGGGACCTATTCGATAAAGAGTTAAGTACAGTAATCAGAATTCAATCTGCTGAACTTAAACCAATACAAGACAAAATCTAGTTGGTTGCTATGGGTAAGAACTCTTTATTGAATAAGGCTGTTGTTGTACAGACAATGGTGTTCCGTCCATGAGGGTCTCAATAATCAAACTGTCTAAAATATAAACTGTATGTATTGCTCTGTTGCAACTATTCAGATTTCTGCTCATATACTGGAAAAGTCAAAGTTAGACGTTTGGAATTTGATTCATGGTTATGTACTATCAGGCAGTTATTATTGCAGACAGTTTGATGAATGAAATTCAGGCTTGTACCAACAATACTGTCCTAAGACAAATAGAGACTGCAATTTAATTACACCAGTATATGAACTGCCCCATACTAGCATGGTAATTGTTCACATGTATTGCTGAAAGGACTTTAGTCACCAGTACTTCTAGAAGCAAACATTAGTTTTGGCCAGTGGTTCTAGTAAAGCAGAAGAGGAAAATTCTGTAAGGCTGTCAGACCATGTGCAAACCGCAGTGATCAGAACAACTAGTTTTTTAGTTTTTAATTCTGATTGGTCACTGCTCTTTCCTTTGCTGAATAAATGTCTATGTGTGGGTGGGTTGTAGTAATGATGGGGACAGAGAAATATCTCTTTTGGTGGTAATATAAGGCCTCACATTTACAATACGTATATAAAACTTTTTCAAATAATTTTTGGGAAATCCTATAATACTGCTAATTGTTACCGCAGTGAGGTCATACTCCTATTAGGAATGTGTTTTTATTATCCTTGTAAACTTGAACAGCCTCAGTTAAGCTACTGGCAATCTGTGAGAAGATAGTTCTATTCATTGGCAGAAACCCCCACATTTTCCATGTGCCATAAATGTCCACATAGATATAGTAATTCCACTTAGGTTCATGTTTTGTTTAGTACGTCCTGTAACTTACTGTGCCATCTTTATGTCAAAGGTAAAGAAGTCAGCGAAAAGAAGTGATACAAAAATATAATCAGTTTTTCAACATTCTGAAAAGTTCATTTTGTAGCCAGTCTTCTAAATTGGCTTGATATACCAGGGCTTTTTTGTGTGTCAAATGTTGTATTTATTATTGCTAGATGGTTTCTGAAGTTAAATGGTAGTATCCGATTAACTGATTAACTGACTATTTTTATTTTTTTTTTTTTGTACAATTTTCATCAAAGTTCTGCTACAGAATAATCAGTTACCCCATGTAACACATCAAATCATCTTAGAAAATTACAGACAGGAAAGGTTGAATTCTTGTAAGTGGTGGAAAAATAATTTCATTTAATTCTACATGAATCGTCTGTGTGAGCTTCTCCATCCAGTGATGTCTCTGTGTTGTAAAAAGCCCATATAAGTGAGACCGAGAAAAGATATTCTATGAAACTTTTTTCTGGTGTTCCTTAGACAGTAATGGCCAGCTAGTCTTACCAAGTTAAAGTATTCCAGGATACCCAGGAGTTTTTGGAAAGGGAATGGCATTAAAGTCATGCACCAGTGACGATCACTGTTCAGGATCTGCCTGTCTAGCATGGAGTATGTAGAGGCACTGGGAAGTTGGATGCCTAATCTATATTTAAGAAATATAGATATAAATCATAATAAAAAAATCTTATTATAAAAAATGCAGGGGAATGTGGCATAAGTAACCGTAATCGTTTGGGTGCCGTGGGGCAGTACAATTATATTTTAAGCACTTTGGCAAGCAAAGCCTACTGGGATGGCCATCTACATGCAGATTCAGCCTCTGTATTGATCACCTAGGGATGTATTTGTAAAGCAATTTGCAGAGTAATTTGTCTTTTGAAACCGCATGTACAATCATGAATAACGGATGTTATTAAAATTATAATGTGAAGAAAATATAATGTTACGGATTTTTTTTTTCTTTCCAGGTTGAATTTATTAGGAAAATACCACAGATGGAGCTGAGATGCATAGGAAAGACGTATTTATTTCTTATGATATTTCCTATGATCCTTTAGCTCCATCTAGTAACCATGATGCAGTATTTCCTATTACATTCGATCTGAAAAAATATGCAAATATTTGATCTTGACCCCATTCAAACAGAACAAATGCACATGCAGTTTCTCAGGACAAATGGCTCTGCTGATGTTTTATAAACACGCCCCTTATTTTTAGGATTTGACCAAAAATTGGAATGGAGAATATATATTTTGGGAGCTGTCATTGTTCTCTTATTTTGAAGGTGCATATTCCTAGACTGTCATTCAGGGTCAGTGACTTCCTTAAGGTAATGATGGCAGCTTTGAACGTGAACCTGCCAAAATAAGACACCAATGGCTGCTCCCATATTTGTATCCTGGCAGCTTCCCTTTAATGTGTATAACCAAATCAAAATTAAGTATCTGGTTATCTGTTTTTTAACAAAGTGTAATTTCAGCATAGAACCAAATACTGTTACGATATTCATATATTGTGAGTGCATCTTTAGTTGACAGTGTTGCAAAAAGAGTGTCAATCCAGCTCATCAGTTACTAGTAATACTGTCTTGCACACTAAGCTTCTTAGAACTGTTATGCCAATGTTATAACTGATAAAGTGGCCTAAATGTTATTGTCACTGACCCTGAAAAAGTATGCAGTGAGAAGTCCTGTTCAGCAGGTTTGTTCTGGGTCTGTAACACAAAATATATTGGCATAGGGGCATCAGCTGGCTATGTAACATATTGAGGAGGTATCAGGATTGGATGCCTACATGTTTTACAGATTTCTCTGATGAAGCACTGCCCCCAAAACAATGTCTTGTGTCAAGTGCTTGAAGATGCACAACCTCTTTATAAATCTTGCAGGTTCACATTTTCAATTTTTAACCCTTTTCTTTCCCTTTTTTTTGGTTCAACCTTGAAGATTGGTGTTTTAAAGGGAAGCCTAATAAAATTGTTTCCACAATGTTCTAATTTGCTGCACTGTCTTCAAGCTGACCTCATGATTTTATTTTCAACAAAACAAGGGTATTATTTTAAACTTCTTTAAATAAAGTTTTCTTTCTAGCGGAACTAACCACTCTTTAATATTTATGGGGGTTAGTAGTAAAGTGTGTACCGGTTTGAATTATCAGAATAAGTGGAATAGCTTCTGATTGTTACATTCCGTTAGGAAAATTGTGTACACTTTGTGGGCCTCCCACTAAGCAGGTCAATTAGAAATATTTTTTATTCATAGATGCGAGGCAAATATGTTCTATTTTGTCTTTTCTGTTTGTGCATTTTTGAATGTTTGCCTCTTCCTTTGATAGCAATCTATTTTTTCATTGCATTCTGAGAAAACGTTCGTTACCAGTTTATATAAAGGGAGCCTATTTTGTTTTCATGATTATACAGTTTTGTATTTGCTGTTATGTATAACTTTACTGTGTTTTGAAAAGAGGGTCGAAATACTCAAACCAAATCTGTGCTTAATAAATCTATATGCTAAGCTATGCATATTATGTCTGTGGTTGTGTTTTGTTTTATCCAATACCTACAAATATTGGACCATTTTACGTATTTTATCCAGTACCTACAAATATTGGACCATTTTATGTTTTTATCCAATACCTACAAATATTGGACCATTTTTCGTTTTTCATGTTTTCTTGTCAATGGATGCTTTTGGACAGTCATGTACTGCTACATATTAATTGATCCCAGACTGGCTAAATAATGTAACCTGTGTGCATATTTACAACCATCCTGTCCGGGTGAAAAAAACACTTAGGCCCTGTCTACGCCTAGGTGTTGGAGTTTGCAGGCATTTTTTATTTTATTTGGCTTAATGGAAAGCAGTAGCAATTGTGGGATCATGCAAAATCGCACAATGCACGTTTCAATGCATTTCCATTGAAGTCTATGGGGACAAAAATTCTCAAATCTGCCTAAAGAGAAGCTCATTTACTTTATCATGCTACAGAATTTTGCTACAAGTAACAAAGGCCATACTTGAACAGAGGCCATAGACAACAATGGGATTCCTTGTGTTGAACGTTTTGTAACCTAGAACGACAAAATGCCTAGGTGTGAACAGGGGCTTACCTAGGAATTCAAAGTAAAGCTGTGCAAACACTATAAAAGATAAGAGTGAGTAGATATACAACGATCAGCCATAACATGATATCCACTGAGAGGTGAAGTGCAGAACATTGATTATGTCATTACAATGGCACCTGGAAGTGGGTGGGATATATTGTGCAGCAAGTGAACATTTTGTTCCTGATG